ATTGATAATAGACTTGTAACAGCATTAAGCGATGGCCACGTTACAGTATGGGAACTCAATGGAAGTAAAAAACCTGTTGAAAGTTGTTCATTGTTTTTAGACTGCAGAATTACTTGTATTTGTAACAATTCCTTAAGGTAAAGTATATAAATCAAGTTACTTACATTTACCAATTAATGTACTACCCACATTTATAAAGCTCTGAAATACTAAGTTAAGTAATTTTTAACATAAAATTACTTCATAGTCCCGTTAATTGACCAACATAATATGTTACCATAATCTCAGTTCAGATTCTATCTCAAACACAGTACAGTTCAGCTAATCCATAGAACTATAGATACAATCAGCTTCCTTTGAGACAAACAATTACTTTGCTCTGGGTATTTATAGATATATCCCAGGCTTTTGATCGATTATGGCATGACCAGTTTATATTCAAACTTAAACACTTTTCCTATGCTTTACTTTCAAATAATACAGCCATATCTTATAAACCAGTAATTTTTAGTATGCCAAAAAAAAAAAAAATGAACATTCAACTTTCCAGAATATTAAGGCTGGTGTTCTCCAGTGTAGTGATCTCTTACCCACCTTATAATATCTACACTGCAGATAACTACATCTTATCAAACTACTCACCACATTTGCTGATTACACAGTAGTACTTGCTTCAAATTATAATTCATCACATAATTTACAATTACATCTAAACTAAATTGAGTCTTAGGCCAAAAACTCTAAAATTAAAATTAATGATGAAAAATCTGCTCAAGTGAACTTTTCCTTAACAATAAAGGAATGCCCTTCACTCAAATTTAAATAACAAATCAATTTTATTACACTAAGTTAACAAAATGCTTGGGTACCATTATAGATAAAGGGCTGTAAGGTTGTAAGTCATAGAAAACAAAAACGTAAACAATTCGATTCATGTCTATATCTACTTTGGCCTATACTTAAACTTAACATGAGTCTTAATAATAAATTATTCTTTAGACCAATAATATAATATGGCATTTAAATATGGGGCCCTGCTAAACCCACAAATATTTGCCTTATTCAAGAAGCCTTCCAGTTGATTACCGCAAAACTTATCATAGTTGTTCTCTGATACGTAACAAACTCAGCCATTCATAACAATCTAACATTAAAAACAGTAAACAAACTTGCTAAAAGCTATAACAAATGATTTCAATCTAAATTATCCAACAAAACTAATTAAAAACATGTACTTTCATATTGCCACAAACAGGGTTGGAGAGTATCTTCGATACAATTGTATCTTATATCTCTATAAAATTATATGAAGTATCCAGGATCTCGTATCGCAATACATTTGTAGACAATGTATCGAGTATTTCACAAAATAATTTTGTCAAAAAATACTCCATACTACTAAAAATTAATTTTATTATAATCCTACCAGGAATAAATAAAATAAATTATCAGACAATACTTTTGAAAAATTAGTATTTTTAAAAAGAAATGAGAATATGATATTATACCTATCTATATTTTATTTATACCATTATACTTAATTAATATTTGAAATAATGCAATTTAAAAGCATTTAACATTTGTTGTTGTGTCATGTACTATTCAATATGATATTTATAATTTATTTTTATTTATTTATTTAATTTAACGATTGACTTGCTATAATATATTTATACTTAACTAATATTTGGACATTTAAAGTTAAATGCATTTGTCTAAGTTCCCAACCTACCTAATTGTGTATAAATTAAATTTAAAAAAAATCCTCTCCGCCGTAGGTTATGATTAATTTTTTCAAATGCATCGGGTATCTAAATATTTAAAATGTAAGTAGTATCTCGATACTCCAAATCTAAGTATCTAGTATCCAGTATCGCGATACTGATTTTTGAGTGTCTTGCCCATACTTGGCCACAAAATTCCCTACATCAATTTAAAAAAAACTGGGGTAGACTTTTTAAAATAAAATATGGATAAAGTATATATACTTAATGTCTTAATTATACATAGTTAACTTTAAATTCTGAGGTTTTGCTGCTTGGTGGTCTCCTTTTCATGTATTTCATCATACTTCTTCTAAGTTGCTTTATGAAGCCCATGATTTTTATGTAGCATTGATTCTACCTCAAAATAATGGTTACATGACACATGCTAAAAAATTATCATTGTAAAACCAATAATTAATAATTAAGAACTTCACTCTAAAATCGATTGCGTTAGAATGATTTAATTTATAGATTTAGATACATGTTTATTGTTATTTTAGTTGTTCGCATGTTCAACACTTACTTACAGTTCAGTTAATATTTGTTACATGATTCATGAATACACTTTCATTGCAGTCCTCACTCGTTTATCAATACTTAAGTAACTTTAGAAAGAAATTATGGTTCCTCCACGTTGTTCATAAATTATAATGACTTGATTTTTACCAGTTGAACTGCTCCATATAACTACTTAAAAAAAGATATTATTCTTCCTCAGTAATTGCTTATAAATGTTGGAAAAAGACTACATAAAATAAAAAATATTTCTACTATTTGATATTTAATAAAACCTCAATCCAGAATCCAGAATCACTGGGGCTCTGACAATTAATCATTATGGGGATGCGCTCCAAATTGTTGTTTAATGTCCTACTGAATTTGTGAGAAATATATTTCCTATTATACTTTATTAATTTATTTTTAAATAATATGTTGTAAGCAAATACGTACGTACCTATGTGTATTATAATTTGGTTTAGTGTATAAATATTGTGAAAATTGATAAAAGTGTATGTAATATTAGTCTTTTATTGAATTTCCTACTAGAACCATTTTAATTTAATCAATTTTAATTTTTACAGAAAATCAAAGATAGTAAAGGATGAATCTGACGAAGAAGCGGAAGTTAAAAATGATATTATTGTGGGTGTAAATATTCCTAATGAGACACATAATATTAAAAGAAAATTACCAACTAATAGTGTCCCAAAAAATAGTATTAAGAAAAAAAAAAGTTTATCTAACAACTGGAAAGTTAGCGAAAATGTTTAATGTAATAGAAAAAATGTTTCTTTGATATTTAATGTGTTTATTAAATTATACAATAATTATTCATTTTTATTTATTGTTTAGAGTAGTCTCAATAATCTGATACATATAGATCATACATACTTCATTGACTTTAAGAACAAACCTTGACAGTCGATTTGTGCTCTGGGACGAGGCTTAAGCCACTTGATAGTTTACTCGGTGGGGCGACAAATGGATGTCACCTGACCCCCTCCCCCGATGAAACTGGTCGCCACCAAGGTTCCTTATAAACAGCTAGAACTTTTTATAAATATGAAATGAAATCGTTTTTTCATCATAATTGGAAATACCAACAATATTTTTGGAGGATTAAATTACATAGAATTGTATTAAATTTGAATTTTAGGGGTTAGTCCTTCCCAGCCATTATTATCAACAAAATAATATAACATTAAAAAACCCAAGTCACTTACAAAATAGTTGGTACCTTATAGTTTGTTATTACTTATGAGTATTTATTCGCTAAATGTATTATAAGTATGTTTTATGCAGTAAATGATGTGGAATCAGTGTTGGTGACACGTAAAAATATCCCCAAACCAAAATATCACCACAAATATATACTAAGACAAAATATCCCGGTTAAATAATAACTCAAAATGTTGACCTTTATTATAAAAGTTGCGATTAGAAGTAATAATATAATAGGGTGGAGCCACAACATGTCATTGGCGTAGAATCACATGGTAAAGTTTTACCTTTCGGCCACATTTTATTTACATCATAACTTTGTTATAAGTACAAATGGTGGGTGGTGGTGGTGGTAAGTATTTAAATCATGAAAATGCTTCATTTAAAATTTAAGTTCAGTCAGTCACTGGTGAATAGTTTAATCATTGATTATTTTGTAATTATATTTTTAACAATCATTTGAGTGGTTTTAACCAATTATAAAATAATAATGTCTATGATTACACCCAATCATAACAACTAATGCCAACAAGAAGCAAGTAATGATAGTCTTTGCGTGAGTCCGTTGAATTCATCAACATGTGTATGTGTTGAAAAGTAAAGTGATAAAAAAAGTACACTACAGAGTACAGATATTGCGGGGATTGTTGACAACATTTTTTTAAGAAAAATTATAGTCAATTTTTTTCATGAGAATGTAGCCAATTTTTCTATTAATTATAAAATTAATAATCTGTAACCAATAACAACCATTTATAAAAAATAAAAATATATTAGATTTCCAAATACAAAACACATCTTTAAAATGAGGATTTTTTAACCCTTCCTTATTGGCTATTACATATTATCTAGAGCATTAGAGGAACCACTGTTCTAAATAATAAGTTTTTACACGTTTTTAAGAAATAGTGATAAGTAAATGAGAACAAAGTGGTATATTTTTTCTTTAAATTATTTAAGATCAAAAGCAAAATAACAAACACAAAAATTGATTTTTAAGGTTTCTTTTCTTTTTAAATCAAAACAAAATTAAGATATTTAAACAACATAATTTCCCAAAACACTATAATATATGATACATAGCATAGTTTGCACACTTTTGGTAACCTAAAAAATAAATTATAGTTAACAATAACCCAGGTTATTTATAATTAATTCACTAGTTTTCACACTCTAAAATACAATTTTAATTTGATAGTTATAATTATTATAAATACAGTATATTTTTAATAAAACAATTAAATATAATCCATGAAAAAATGAACACAACAAAAATTAATTTTTAACTAAAAGTAACAAATACAATAAAACATACATATATTAAATATTTTAATCATACAGTTAAGTCTATGAATTTAAGAATATTTTTTGCTTCATTAACTTATACATCGTATACCTATAAAAAATAATTGTTTATTGATGCTAAGGAATTACTAAAAATTAATTTTTAAATACTTGAAATTCTAAGTATTTTATCGGGGGGGAAAAAAAAATAATAATTTGAAATGTCAACAAATTTAAATTAATGTAAAATGTATGAATAGATTGTTATGATAAAGTAGCGGTTCTCACCATTCTTCTGGTGTGACTAGAATGTTATTCTTTGGTAATCCGCTTAAGTCTTTAGTTTTCAAAAAAATAAAATTAAAATTAAAAATGAACTAACTTCTAAACTTTGGCATCCAAGTTGTTAACAACACCTAAAAACAATTCATTTTGGTTTGAATAAATAATAAATTTAACTATATGTCTGAAATCAAACTACACATGATAATAAATTAGTTACAGCAAAAAGCAAGGGGAGAGGTGTACATTATTGTAGTATTATCATTTGTGAAAACCAACACCAATATAATATTAATAAGTTAATATTTCCATTACCTATTGAAAAAGCTTAATAAGTCATAAGTTCTACTGACTACTCTTATAAGTTGTTTTATAATACAAAATTAACATCCCTCAATTTGAACATATATTACAATAAATATTCAGAATTATTTAACATTTAGTACTCAAATTTACCGCCACCAGTTTTGAGCTATAAATAGAGCGTTGCAAGATAGTTGTAGAAGAACAAGTAGCTTATAAATTATACTATGCAATCTGATTCAAATATCAGGTACATTTTGGCCATTTTAAGGTATATTATATAATTTTCCAATATATCTAGATAATGGCTCAAATTTTTCTTTATCTATAGAAAAGCTAACAAGTAATTGGCATGTTATTTATACATTAGAGTCATGACGTTAGTTCCTCTAAAATTTCTTCAGTTGTACGTCGTTCACTTTTAAACCGATCCATATACATTTTTGGGACAGTCCAGTCTAATAATATTTCAATATTCTTTTTCAACAAATCATTTTCACTTTGACCGTTAGCGCGGTAAGGACTACGGCCAGAATTTTCAATAGAATCACATAGTACCAAATCAATTAGTCTTTTTCCAAACCCTAATGCATTTAAGCGTTCAGTGGTTGATATGCGTATCAGTAAAACTGCCAATAACATCCGCATTCGGTCCAAGGCCATACCAGGAGGAATAAATTCTTTTGTTTCTTGTTTGGGCGAACATGTTTCTTCATGAGTTATTATTTGAGTTTTTGTTTTGAAATATGAATTACACTTAACACATAAGTATGGTTTATCTGTTTTGTGTATGGTTAACATATGTTTTTTTAAATGTGGTAATTGTGTAAAAGCTGTATTGGTACAAACAAGACATTTAAATGGTTTTTCTCCAGTATGACGTCTCACATGCATTTTCATAGCTGTTGAATGTGCAAATGATACTTTACATACTGGACATGGATAAGGTTTTTCCCCACTATGTCTCCTCTCATGTACTGTCAGTTGAGAACGTTGTACAAAACGAGCATCACAACTTTTACATTCATAAGGCTTTTCATGACGATGTGTCCTCAAATGTTGTATCATATGTCCTTTAAATTGTTTATGGCAAATTTTACATGTAAATGCTCTGATATTATTATGATAGCTAGATAGATGTTTAGTTAGACCATCCCTACGTAAAAATGCTTTTCCACACACTTCACATACATAATCATTTTGTCCCATATGCCGTTTCATATGGCCCCGTAGAACTGAACGACAAGCAAATAATTGATGACATATTGCACATTCTAGTGTATATTGTTTGTTATGAGAACGCGCATGTTGCCAAAGTTGACTGGCTCGTGTGAAGGATTTTAAGCATTTGTCGCATCTAAAAAATGTATAGAAATTTCTCAAGAAATGCCAATTGAAGTGATAACAATAATAATAATAATAATAATAATACAAAATTATTAAATAGAACAAACATCAACTTCTAACTCAGACTAAATGAATTAGTGAGTACAAATATTTGTGTGCCTAATACTAGTTATGCTAACACAAAATGTTTTAACTAATATTATAAACATAAATGTATTCATTTACAATATATTAATTTAACTCAAAAAATAAGTACTAAATATATGTATTTATTTTCCATTTAATATTATAGTTGAACTTGGCTAACTCAAACTGTTTAAAATCGAAATTATCAACACGTCAAACTTTTTCCTTGTCTCAAGAACTTCCTATTATTGTATTATCATTAGAAAACTCGGATTCTTGAATTAGTTGAACTTTTTGGCCAGTCCTTTCAACTTCAAGTTAACCAAGTCCAACAGTATGAAATCAAAGTTAACACTTAAGAAGGATTATAATTTAAGGAGCAAAATTTAATCTGTTCCAAAATTTTTGTTTGTAGCAAGCCTAGATTTAGATAATTTTAGGCCTGGGGCTGAATAATAATAATATATCCATTAGTTATAGGAAATTTACTACCCGCCAGGGACCCACTATTATTCAATATTTGTTGTGGGGTGAGCCCTTTATGGGCTTGATTAGCAGTACCTACCATAAAAATAGTTCCGCAAAATGAACATATTAGGTTACTAAAAAAAGTTTTAATTCTTTTGTACTGAATACAAAAAAAAAAGTACTTTATAAACTACAACGTTAAGTAAAATAGGAATTATTTCATGTGATTAGTTTTAATAAAAATGATTATAGGACATAAATTCCAGCTACTGACAGTAAAAGTAAAATATTATACAAATAGGTACGTATAATAATAAGGTAGAACTATATTTATAATCACAATTATACTAATTTAATTAGTTTTAAATATCAATATATAATTATAGATATAAGTTTTCAAATAAATCTATAAAGCTTAGGAGAAAAAAATGATCATAAAGCTACATTAAAAGAATATAAGCAATTATTTTCTGGAAAAAAATACATACATTTGGTTGATTAATTATTATGTTTAAAATCCACCACCAGTATTTTCTTAAAAACTAAGGCTATTTTGCAAATAGTTATATGCACTCCCAATTATTACTATTTTAAAATCAAATTAATTACCTATTTCGATTGTTGTTCAAGTTTTTTAAAATGAATAAATATATTTAAAATTAAAAATGTTATCTACAATTTGTAGTTAAAAAAGAAAAAAAGTATTTTAACTAAAATATACCTGTTTTTTTTTTTACACACATATTAACTGGTAATAAAAAGAAAAAAATACCTGTGAGGATAATATCCGGTATGAATGCGCACATGTTCAATAAGTCGTTCCTTGATCGGAAACTTTTTGTCACAATGACCACAAGTAAAATCTTCTTCCCGACCACAATTGTGAATGCACATCTTATGGTTTTTTAGAGTATTTTGGTGTGTAAATCTATTTCCACATAAATCACACTCATACGGTCGTTCACCAGTATGGACCCTGTAGTGCTTTTTCAACACATTGGGAAATGGGAAAATCTTATAACAATACTTGCATTGATGCTGCCTAGGGCTTTTCCTAACCACAGTTTTATTTTTCTTCACAACCCCCATAATAATTAATATTGCATTGATGCCGTGTTTAGCTGTTAAAAGTGTTATTCATGCTCGTTTATCACTAATATATGCAAAGTTTATAACAGTAAAATTAATTAATATTTGACTTATTTTCATTTTATAGCTTAGAAAGATAAGTTTCCCCAACACCGAAAGAGAAGCATTGATCTAGTTGTGGTTTAAGTTCATAAAATATCAAAATATGAACCCGTACGTTGTGTGTCCATAATAGTTCTTGAGTATTGTTCATAATTTGGATTCAAGACTAGATTCACCTTTGGTTTTATCTGAAATTATCTTAAAACAAAAAAATTTAAAAAATGTAGTCGAATAAAAATTATAATGTACCTAAGTAGTACATATAAATAGTAAGTAAACCTAACCTATGAAGGCGGTTTTATTTAAATAATAAACATTTTTAAGGAGAAAAAGAATAAATGGTTTAAATACAGTCTCATATCTGACAGAAACGAATACTGATAAAAATGAAGGGTTATTAATTTGAAGATGTATTGCATAGTTACAATTAGATATTAATTGTAAATAATAATTATAATTAAATTAGTCAGCCTTGATCAAAACTTCAACAATCGAAAAAGCTTTTTTGATGAACACTGGTATACACTAAATAAGGTTAGATATACGGATAAAAAAGATACACGGACAGGACGGTTAGATTGAAGAAGAGGGTGTCCATTGACACTACTTCCACGCAAAAAAAGCTCGTGGAACTAAATCGTAATAATTTCAAAAATACAGAATGCTGGTGATCTTTTTCAATGAAATAATGGCAATTAACTTACTTCAAAAGATATAAACATTGTTATTCGAAACTTTTAACTTGCTGTGTACTACTGTAAAATTAATAAAAATATAGGTTAACTGTATGACATATTATTATGACGTGTTGATCCATGATAGTTGATACCAAAAACTAAAATACTAAACGGAACTTGGTAGCAACAATAGAACATATTATAATGGTAATGATTGGTGGTTTTCAGATAAATGTCAATAATAATTATATACGATAAATATTAAGTACCCATATAACAATTTTTAACTGATAATAATTGTCTTGATACACGAATGATTATATAACATTCAGTACTCTAATCGTGGTACTAACTTTACTGTTGTACTGTCGTTGTTGTAGTACAAAGTACAAAATGTGTGTGATAGTAATTTTACATTGTTGCCAAATGTATTTTACACAGCATGTTGTTTATCGATTAGTGGACTGACTAGAGCCTAAATAATATTAAAAATAAGAATAACACTATTCGTTGAGAATTAAATAAATTATCATCTTATTTTTTAATAAATTATTATGCTTCATGGTAAATATTGAAACATCTGATTTGTACAAAAAAAAACCAAATGATTTAATTAAAAACGTGGTTGAAAATGACAAAAAAATTTTTGCCGAAACCAGGGATCGAACCAGGGACCTTTAGATCTTCAGTCTAACGCTCTCCCAACTGAGCTATTTCGGCACGTTGATATGACCTGGCGATTTTAGACCATATTAAAACGTGACTTTTAAATTTAAGTTGTATGTTTTTAAATTTGTATTTGAAAAATTACTAAAATTAACAAAAAAATTAATATTAATCATTCTTTACTATTATTAGATAGGGAACCTACTGCAAATGGATATTTTACTCATTATAAATATTATATTTGGGTACCTAGATCAAATATGTTTTTATTATTTTTATTTTGTTATAAAAGATTGGTGGGTACCTCTACACTACTAGTTACTACCATTGATTGTAGTCTGTAGAATATGTATTCTTTAATCAATACTACTATCAACTATTAAAGATATACCCAAGTGGCTAAGTATATTTTTAATCACGTGGTACTACCTAAATAATATAGTTGTACAGCCCTACAGGATGTTAATAAATGCAAGGATGGACCCAGGGACGGGAAGAGGTTAAGGCTCCCCTCTTCCGCACTACAGCATAATTAAATTTCATATTCCTCAATATTTTATGTAATAATTTACTTATAAGTTATAGCCTATATGTATATTGTATAGGTACTGTAGGTAGGCAGACCGCAGATCTGCTAGATAGGTAGATTGTAGATAAGTAAATAAAGAGGTTCAATTTTAAAATTTAAAAAAAGTTTAGCATAATAAAGCCACATTAGCTTTTTATTAATTAAGATCAAATATTGCAGACATTGGACACCTATTCAAACGCGTGATAATGATGTAACTATAAAAAAAGGTTAGGTATATACAAACGAGTTTTCTTGTTTGTATTATTGCCAGGGCCTGATTAAGGAGTTGGTCACCAGTAGGCTAGGGTTGATTTGGCGCCCCTATGAATGATCGGAGTTTTTGGAGGGTAAAACGAGGATTAAGAAAACGTAAAAACCACAGACTTTTTTTGTTTAAAATAAAACGTGTTTTATATTTAATAAAATTATATACAAAAGCATTTAAATATTTTTAATTTATGATTGAACTAAATATTATTCATTTTAAAAAGTTTTTTCATTGATTTTAACCCTGTGAAAGACTCTATTAGCACTAGTAGACGGCATCGCCACTTGAATTTCACTTTTTTTTTTTGCTACTTTCAAACAAAACACTCTTCACTGAGGCATCTAATAATGATTCAGAAGAGTCATTATTAGACGTTGTTTTAGATTTACTAAAAAACGAATAAAGTGAAGGCATTTTTTTCAAAATTGCATCTTCCCGCTCACTACGCTCTCGAGCCCTTTTTCGATACTCGGAACCACTTGGTTTTTTATTTTCACTCATATTAATAAGCTGTTTGTAAATTGTATTTAAAAATATACCAATAAAATGTACGTACGCACACGTAACAATTTTTTTTTTTTAATTATATATTATGCAAAAATTCTACATTCGTAAAAAAAATTTTTGTGGTGCCCCCAATTTAACGTTGACCGATTGGCGCCCTAGGCTGTAGCCTACTTAGCCTATTGGTTAATCAGGCCCTGATTATTGCCTATATATTCAAACAATATTACTCATAGGTTTAACTAAAAAATGTTCGGATTTTAATTTTTGGATTAAGTATAGCCGTAGAGGTAGAAGAGTCTCGCAAATTTAAACATGTTTTTAGATTTCAAGATTATAAATGTGTTACAATATATATATATTATTATGTCTATTATAAATAGATAAGGTTAGATATGTAACTTATGTACCTAATATTGATTATTGATGTAGTAAACACTTAAATACATTTAATTACCAAGTTATAAGTAGGTATAAATGTATAATACATTTTGATTATACTCTGTACATACCGTTTAGAATATAGGTATCTAATATGTTAATTAGAGCTGTTAAAATAGCGATATTAAAAGGGTTTTTCAATATTCTTAATTTAACATATTAGAACCAGTGGAGCAACTAGGGCTAAACTGTTGGTGGGGCTGTTGCCCCTACCCGATATTACACGAAGAGTAACCCCTGGGGGCAATGCCCCTACACCTATTCGGCCATCATATATATTCACTTAGAAATACAAAAAAAAATATACAAAACAAAAACAAATATATTTCGTTTACTCAAGTTTCATTGTTCACAATAATAATATAGTGTCTGTAACAATGTATTGACATACATCATTACCTCAAAAACAAATGCAGGATTCAGTCATAATGATATTTACCATATTTATCATAGGCAATACAAAATAAACATACTTTAAATAAAATTTAATAATTTCATTTTTTTTCCATAAAAAAAATAAGAAATACATTTGAATTTTAGAAGGTTTATTAAAGTAACAAATGAATAATTTATTTTGGGGGTCTATTGCAAGTTTTTTTTTTGGGTAGGGGGGTGGTCTAAGCCAGTGTACCTGTCTGCACCTATGATTTTACGGTATTATTGTATGAGTAAGCTTTAGTGTAGATGGTGTAGGTACCTACTGCAGTGTAGTGTTCATATTCCATAATATATGACTATATTATACTGTTTAAACTAACAAGTAAGATGAGTAAAGATTATAATTTATGTTATAGTATTGTTATTGTAAAATAATTATACCTAAAACATACAAAGAAAGTTGATCTTACTCGTACATTACATTTTTACCGCGTCTACACCAAACAGGAGTGGAATTTTATTAGTTACTCATTATTCCGGTGGATGTCACTGCACGTACCGATTACATTTTTTTTATAATCCTTCATGAAAAAAAAATGTATTTAAACTCATTTATAGGCGCATATAAGGGGTACATATAATTAAGCGACACCCCTAAGTATCAAATAAGCACTCCTATTTTGATTTTTAATTTTAATTTCAGTGGTTCACAGGTAAGAACAAAAATACGCCTAACAAGTTCCGTCTGTACCTTCCTCCAGTTCCAAAAAAGATTCATTATACTTGTTTTTAATATGTAACTTCGTCTAAATTTGAACTTAAAATAATTATAAAATAAAATTGTGTTAATACATTTTATAAATATTTTGGTTACAGAACGAACTACTTATATAGGACCTTGTTTTAAATTTTTGACTTTCCGGTATTTAAAGTTATGATAATCTTGTTTAAATATTAAAATCTTAGATATTTTTATGAATTTTTAACTCAAAATAATTTGAAAATGTTCGTGATTTTTACGAATTTCGTCAAAAATCTAAATTCAAACTCTCATAAAAAATGTTTGTGAATTTACTCTCAACTCTTTTTTTAATTTCCACTAACAATAACTTACGAGGAACCTTGCATTACATTTTGAAGTTTTTTGATACAGGAACATTTTTTTTAATGACATTAGTTGAAAAAAACTAACACTTATCGAAAATGTCAAATGTTTATAAATAATTCGACAAGAGTCAAAATATTTTGAAAAATTTACTGTACATAGAAAATGCCTATATAAACATTCAGTGAAAATTTCATGTGGTATTTTTTTATGATTTACATCAAAAAATAAAATCGATTTTCCTTAATTTTTGGTTTGTTTTTCCTGCCGCTTTTGAAAACAAGTAGGAATTTTTTACTTATGACCCCTTAAAGAACCAACTACACTCACTTTCCCACCATAAAAGATGGTGTTGAAGAAAATCGAATTACCTGTACTGCCCTAAAAATTCAATGACAGAAAAAAAAAAAAAACACACATCATTGTAAAATCAATACATTCATCACTTTATTCCGAATCCAAAATTGAAAATCGAATTTTTCCGTGAACAGCTCAAAACAATTAAAAACATTTTGTTAAACAATTATTAAATAAAGGTTATAAAATTGATTTGAAATTTCCAAAAAATTGAACTTAGAAATTATTTATTACAAAATGTCATTAGTAAATTAAGAGACCTAGGTGATCTCAATAGTCAACTGCAAATGTCTGCAATGGTAAACTGTACATTTTGCACAATTTTAGAAAAAACCTGTAATAGAAAGACGTTACACTCGCACGACATAACAAATTTGCCTCAAGCTTTTTACGAAATTTTAATTTTCAAGCAAGTTATGAGTATGTTAAACATAAGAAATTCTCATAATCTACTTAAAATTAAAATTATTTAAATAACACAAATAATATTTTTACCTTTAAGTTTGGTAATAAGCCAATTCACTGTATTATTAAATTTTACTACAGAAAATTGGAACTACTGAATTTAAATTTGCCATCTTGTACTATTGGATCTTGAAAGACACAATATACATAAAATGTATTGTTATTGCAATTCGATACATTAAATCAAACCACTACTTCTTTCATAGTTTTGAAATCAGATATTCTCAATTCAATTAACCACGTTTTTGGTCAACATACAAATTTTGATTTATATTTTTGTGATAAATCTAAAGAAGCCAATGTTATGGAAAATATTTTAACATAAGACGACAGTTTTGATTTCCATAGTATTTGATACACATATGACATTTGAATTATTTAGCAAGGCACAGTAAAAGTTTAATAGAGAAAAAATTATTAAAAATTACGAATATATCTAAAATTTGCAAACTATTTCGTTATAAAAATGTATAGCTTTCAATTTTAAAGTTAAGGCTTAAAAATGTTCCTACAAGGTCCTTATAAAAGTAATTCATAATAGAACCAAAAAAAAAAAAATAATATATAAGCTTTGTGCCGTATTTCTATGATTTTATGAGTAAAATAAATGT